ATTAACTTTTCGAACTTACATTTCATTGAAAATTAAATCCCTTGCTGGCCCCATCCCCAGGGCACACTGAGAAGGCAAGTGAGACTGGGTGTGGTGGCATGAGCCTCTTTTTACAGTTTTAAATCATTTTCTATGTCTACTTTTGGGGAGCCCCTGTCAATGTGCTGGACGGGAAGGAAGAGCATAGCTGACACATGAACAGGTGCCTGAATGGAAGAGACACAACTAGAACTGACAGAGGGAGAGATAGGAAAGAGATGGATGGCTTCTACAGAAGGAACTAGCAGAGTTAACAAAGACGCAAAAGAAAAGCATACTCTGGTAGGTTGTTACAGTGGATCAGGGTCAGAGTGAAAGGCCATGGATGCTACAATCACTCTGGGTATCATTCCATAAGCACTGGAGAGATTAACAAGGCAGCATATAAGGGCAAACTATATAAACACAAGTAAAATGCTGTTTGTAAAATGTCTACATGAAGGACTGAGATTAATAAAAATGACAGTAATAATAATAGGTCTAAAACTTGGAAACGAATAAAATTAGACAAAACCAGTCTTACATATAAAAAAGGTTACAGTTAGACCTTGCCTTGAATACTAGGTCTGACACTTACTAGCTTTACATTTTGGTAAGTAATCCAAGTCTCCATTTCCTCATCACATAGTACATCTGCACTTTCATGTAATCTTTCTTACATTCTAACCAGAGAAGAAAACCCTGGTCCCACTACACCATTCCTGTTTCCCTCTACTCCCTAGCCCCTGGGAACAACTTATCTGCTTTGTACACACGAACCTGTGTATTATAAGTATTTCAAGTAATTGGAATCATACAATACAGACCTTTTATGTTTGGCATCTTTTACTCAACATAGTATTTCCAAGGTTCATTCCTTCTTATGGCTGAGTAGTATTCTATTATACAAATACATCAAATTTTGCTTGTCTTTTTTTTTTTGTTTGTTTGTTTGTTTAATGTATTTAGTACAGAGTCTTACTGTGCAGCTCAGACTCGACTGCTAGTGATCCTCCTGTTTTCAGCCTCCCTAGTGCTGGGATTACAAGCATGGGCCACCACTCCTGGTCTTATTTTTTTATTAGCTGATAAACATTTGGGCTATTTTTAGCTATAATGTATGCACAGTGACACTATGAATGTTTTGGGCAAGTTTTTGTTTAAATGCCCATTTTTAGTTCTCTGGGGTATACACTTAAAATGAGATTAAGTCATATGCTAATAGTATGTTTACTTACTGAAGAACTGCCACACTGATTTTTATAGCAACTGCAACATCTTATATTCCATGAGCAATATAAGACAGTTCTAATTTTTATACAGCCTTGCCAATACTTATCTCCTTTTTTAAAAAATATGCGTTTCTTGGAGGTGGCAAGAAAGCTCTGCAGTTTAAAGTGCCTGCTTAGGCAAGCCTAGGCAGGTGCAGGGGACCACGGTTCAATTCCGGGCACCACAGGTCACAACAGCTCCGCCCTAAGAGTGGACTGAGCCAGACCAAAAAAAAAAAGCATTTCTTTACCAGAGTAATACTTTGGGATAAGATAATAATATAGGTATATGAAAAGAGACTGAGAAAGAAGACCACAAAAGCCTTGATTTCACACCTTATATTTTTTAGTCTTTTATGTAAAGTTTTTTATATAAAGGAACTACGTTAGGTTTAAGTGTGTGCAGCTGATTTATATAGTCTCAAGGTATACCCACTTCCCTACAAATGACTCAATTTTATCCTTAAGGCAAAGTAGTACTCCATTGTGCTAATTTTCTTTAACCATTCATCTGTTGTTAAACATACAGGCTGCTTCCATTATTTGGCTAATATGAAAAAAAAAAAAAAAAGATAACAGGAAGTAGCAAGATCTTTTTCAGATGAGATCAGGCTCGTTCAGGGTGGTATAGCTACAGACGATAGTTATTTTCCAAATGGAAAGAGGAGGAAGGAGAGAAAAATGGGATGAAGAACTGAGGTATATTATATATCTGTAGCAACTCTCTACAAGGAATATAATCATAATATATATATGTCCTAATAAAAATTAAAACAGAAATAAAAGCAATAAAGCTCTGACTGGGCCGGGGAGATGGCTCAGTAGAATAAGCGCTTCCCTGGCAAGCGCAAGGGCCTGAGTTCAATCCCCAATTCCGCCAAGAAAAAAAAAAAAAAAAAAAAAAGCTGTGACTAATGGAGGGGTGGGGGGGGCAGAATGCTGAAAACTGGAGGAACTAGGTTACTGTCACTGTCAGAATTTGCCCAGAGTGAATTCAGAATCTACTGAGTTGATGTAGTTCTCCAAAGCAACAGAACTATTTATTTATCCTTTTAATACCACCAGTACATGTTCCAATACTACCTGGTAAGAGGCAGCGATCAAGACTAGTTTGTTCAATTAATGAATCTGAGGTTATTAATTCCATGTAAGACTAATCATAATGGAATTATGGAAGAGGTTTATTACATGTCCTAAATTACACTGGCTCTCATCCATATTTCTTAAAGTTCAGAATTATTTTCTCCTTTTGTCTTTTTGTTTGTTTTTGAGACAGGTGTGGCTGGGCAATTAAGGCTGGCCTTGAATTCACTAGTTCAAGCCCAGGCTGGCAATCCTTATGCCACAGCCTCCTGAGTGCTGAGATTACAGGTGTGCACCACCATGCCTGGCCCAGAATTATTTTCTTAGTGTTCAGTTTCACAAGCTACCATAAAGAAAAATAAAGAGCAAGGTTCTATTCTATTACTCAAAAACAAATCAACAACAAAAATTACCATATGTAACATTTTATTAATAAATTATGCAATCAAAAGGCAATATATGCTGTGCTTTTTAAAATATTTTATACCAAGTATCAATACAAAAGAATATTTAAAAAATTTTAAGTATGTACAAACCAAAAATTTCTTTGGTGTTTTTTAGTCTGGCTCCACGAAGTAAAAGACTCTCTGGGCCCAGAGGCCTAAGAAAAAAGAGAAATTAAAAAAAACCAATGGATACCAAAAACTCAATTTAACAAAAGGGCTTTGTCAGTAGAAAATACTTAAGCTACACATAATATACTAGTTTCATATAAAACCAAAACCTAGCTATTATAAAGCTGCCTCCGCTGACCACGATGTTAGTTACCTGCTTTAGCATTTCAGTCACTTCAAGGTTAATGGCTCAGAAATAAAATAGGCGTGTAAATAAACTCACAAAGCCACAAGTTCCAAAAATTATAAACATAAAATACAACAAAATCAAAGATTAAGCACTGATTTAAGAAAGTTAAGCAAAAGATGGAATTTTAAAAAATTGAGCAAATAAAGTTGTAGAAATGGCTAATTAAAATGCAATGTAAACAAACTGTACAATTGTGTATAAATGCATGAGTTCTGTACAATTATGCTAGATTATACAGTAAGATGTAGAAAATGTTAGTGTTTTTTGTAGGCAAGATCATACAGTACAATTTGACTACTTGCATTGCACACTTCTTGGAGCACAGGTCTTCTTGCTGTTTGAATTTCTCTCCATAAAGGAGATATAAAATGACAAGGAATAACTAGAAAGGAAATTGTATCTTCTTAGTGACAGAGAAATCACTGAGTCTGTTATGGATAAATTAAAAAGCCTTTATTTTGTTGGTAACACTTATGCTTTCCTAAAGATACATATAATATTTACTGTAAGCAAATAGAACTTGAATCGTTGATTTAAAATCTCCAGACCCAAACAACTATCAAATCTGTGATGCGCCAAGGAGGGCCAAGTATGTAGGACACGGTTAACAAGTACAATTTTGCTAGATATTTGGAGTGTCCTTCATGGATATTCCAAAATCACTGTGGCAACTATTCAGAACTATAATGTGGCTCTTTCCCCCTTGATACTACTTCTAACAATAAAGAAAAATACTTTGAGTTCACAATGGGATACAAGTTTTAGATTCTAAAGGCAATTCATCAGTTCATTTCAGTTGCTTCACTAAAGAACATAGTTTAATTTTTCAGACACTCTAAGAGATGGAAGTAATATAACTGCTACTTTCCTTTACCAGCCACAGTATCTTAGTACAATTCAAATGATGTATCCTCACAGTTTTCACTATTCCACTATAGAAATAAAAATAAAACCAGTCACAGTTGTTCACCAGGGACTCTACACACAGAAAGATTTTATTTACAGAGTTTACTGAATGGGCTCCTATGTTAATGCTCATTAAAATGTGAATCAGTGCTGACATATGGCAATTTTGATGGCTTGTCAATTTTATTTTAAAAGTGCTCAATTCTATTACTGACTTATTTCCTACAGACGGTACAAACTAGACAGGTCTCCAAAAAAAAGAAGTAGCACGTCAAATTTGATTAGAAATTCAGGGATGATTCCAAGACTGACTCTAATTTAAGCCCTTTAGTCAAGAATAACAATGTAATTTCATGCAACAAGCATATCTTTTAACTGTCCAAAAATCCTTTCATTAAGATGTGAAAAGCTGGGCTAGGGGGTAGCTCAGTGGTCTAAGTGCCTGCCTGGGAAGTACAAGGACCCGAGTTTGATCCCTGGTACCATATGCCAGGCTGGCTCTGGAGCACAGACACTTTATGCTGGCCACCAAATCAGGCATGGTGGTACATGCCTGTAATCCCAGCACTGGGGAGGCTGAGACAAGATCACTATGAGTCCAAGCTGCATAGTGAGACCTTGTAACCAATCAATCAATCAATCAATCAACCTTATTTAAAAATGCAAAAATTAACCTGAATACTGGAGGTGGAATGGGTTAATCAAATAAGCAAAAATGAATCTAAATAAATAACTGGTTCTGCAGCAGGCACGAAATGTTCAAGGTTGAATGATTTTAAAGTAAAGACCATACACCATTTCTATTTGCTATATGGTACATATTAACATTTGCAAGAAGTGCTCTGCATTGAACTCAGAGGAAGCATGCACTCCATCACAGAGCCACACACAACCCCTCATACTCTTGACTATGTAGTATAGATTTAATTGTATAAGGATCTGAATAGAAAGCAGCTATTAGAAAAAAATTTTTTTTGCTAAATTATTGTTATTATTTCATGGTATATTTCATCTTTACTTGTTGGTGCTACCAATTACTAGCAGATAGAGGACTAAATATTTTAAAATTAACCTTATTCCATGATGGCTGTTTGTTTATATGATCTCCTTTTACCCTTCAATCCCATGCTCAGATGGTTCCCACTAAGAGTAGATGACACAAATTTATTCTTACCTTACAATTTCTTCCATTTGATGAGTTATTATCATTCGTCCCATGAATCTATAAAAGAATGTACCATATTATACAAATGTGATATTTTACTGCTTATCTCGTCAACAGGCAGACCACGATAGATATCTTATTTTTTTAACTTTTTATGTATTTCGTAGAATCTACAGGGTTTCACTGCACAGATGGTAGCGATCCTTCCTGTTTTTCAGCCTCCCAAGTGCTGGGATTACAGGCATGTACAACCACGCCCAGTCTCAGTGAGCTCTGGGGGCGGGGCCAGCACAGCAGGCTGGGGATTGAAACCCTAGCCCATGTCTGCCTTAGCAGGTGCTTTAATCCACTGAGCTGAGACAACCCCGGGCGTGCGAATCCTGAACAGACCCAGAGCGCAGGCCCCGCAAGTGAGTGGGACGACCCGGGGCCACGGGATCCTGAATAGACCAGGAGCGCAGGCCCAGCGAGTAAGTGAGACGACCCAGGACGCGGGATCCTCAATAGACCCAGAGTACAGGCCCAGCAAGGAACCCTTCAGCAGAACTCCCAGCAAAGAGGCTAGAGGCAAAACTCACCCAGCTGATTCAGGAGCCAGAACATCTTGCCACAGAGACACAAAGGGTTCAACTCTAACGGCTGCAGCAGAAAGAAGTGGAGCACAACAACCAGATCCAAACAACACCCACCTGGAGGAATGTGAACTTCCTAGATCTGGACCTGGTGCTAAGATAATAACTCTATCTAAGCTCTATACCAAAGGTCAGAAGACAGTGGTATACAAAATGACAAAGAGAAGGAACAAAAATGCAGTCTCAGGCCTTGAGTCTACCCACTACAAATGCAGAAAACACTAGCACTGAGGAAACTGGAAATCACACACCAGATATCTCTGAAATAATAGTGCTGGCAGTAAAGAAACAACTGCAGAAAGGTATAGAAGAAATCAGATCAGAAATAATTTCTGAACTAAAAAATTTAGTAGTAACTATAATCAAAGAAGT